GTGTTCATTTCAAATTTCAAATTGTAATATATATATATATATATATAAATTTTAACACAAAATAACTTAATATTAAAAAAAGTTTAAATAATTCGGGCAATTCGGGCGGGCTCGGGCCGCCCGACCGGGCTCGGGCCGCCCGACCGGGCTCGGGCCGCCTAATACAAGCCCGCGGCCCGTTCAAGGTGAAATTCGGGCTCGGGCGGACGGCCCAAATTTCTCGGGCGGCTCAGGCTCGGGCTCGGGTAAAACTCGGGCTTTTTGGACGGTCGCGGGCGGCCCGTCCAAAGTTCCAGCACTACATTGAATAGGTGCATATCAAGGGGACAGGGACAGTTATCCTAGGGACAATGGCTCCTTTGTTGTTTCTGGTGCAATCCAACTGACATTCAAGTAAACATTTTGCTTCTCTAGCTTGAATGGTTGATGATGTTTTGTTCATCAAAATATGAATATCGAGAAATGTGCATATATGGATGCAAAATATCTCAACTAGTAGACCCAGAAATGTGCATATAGGGGAAACACAAATAGAATCACTATCGTTTGACATATGACAAGGTTTTGAGCAATGTGGTATTGTTTGTTGTTGCCACCAACCTGTGTGGAATGGTTTATGGCTTTTTGCCGGATCTTGATGTAACTTGTCCATTTGTAGTGCTAATTTGCAGACAATTTTTTTTCCTTTTTCTTTTTTCAGTTTCCCCTCTTGCTGTTTAGTTTTGAATAATTTGGTGTGGATAACGGCAAATACCAATTAATGTACTAGTTGGCACCGAATGTTCAATAGGGTTGAAATATTTTTCCAATCATATAATTTTATTCACATTTTTTCCATTTATTTCTCACTTAGCTTGTTATAATTTTGAGTTATAATTATTTGCATAATTTTTTTCTAGTACTTCATTTTTTTAATTATATAACGAATTATATTTTTTTTTTCAAATTACACGTAAAGAATTATATTTATTATATAATTTTTTAAATTACATTATTTTGGTCATAATTCAAATTCAGAAAACAAGACAACCAAACACTGATTCGAATCACATTTCAGGTTAGAATCAAAATCATGTATATACACATCCAAACGAAGGTTCTAAACACTCTTAATCATGAATCATGGATCTAAATACATTTGGTTCATGGATTAGAATCATGAGATTAGAACTATTTTTTATTTACGTGTATTTTTTATGAGAGAAAATACTGTAGCGAATCATAAACCATAATTTGAATCGGGGTACGAATCTCCCAACCAAATAACCATGATTCAAATCACCTTAATTTCAATTCTTATACCAAACGGACCTAAACTTTCGATTTTCTCAATATTTTCTTGGTTATATTGTACGTTTTTTGTTTTTTGGTTCTTTGCTTTTCTAAGTATTGAATCTTATTGTAGACGAGAAAGTTTATGCCCAATATGGAATCTGAAGGTTCTGATGTTTCTCGAGCTGAAGAAATCAAAGTCCTGGCCAATGAAGCGTTTAAAGGTCATAAATCATTCTTCTGGAATCTGCTTTCTAGGGTTATTACTAAAATTATTTTTGCTCAAATATTCGTTATGGAGTTGTTGCACCGACCTTTTGATGAATAGCGGTGCTTTTAAGTGGAATTCAGACCTGACAAAACCATGAACCGTCTTGAAACCGTAGTCCCGTTGGGGACGCCGACAGCGAGTTCTGCAGACTCCCAAGACTCTGGTCTCAGTTTGAACACGGTCATTGGCCTTCTAGGTCGTAATAGTGTGAGGCAAAAACAAACAGAAATTCAAGTGTCCCGCAAAAAATTAAGAAAAGGAAACTAGAATTAGTGTAGTGAGATAATAAGGCTGATGCTTTATAGGTCTATTTCTATCTTCATTGAGAATCCTCTTACCGTTTTGTAGCTTTTCA